CTTCATTCTCAGAATGCATTAGAATTTCTGATGGTAGTACAAGAGTTATTGTTGCAAAATGGATTTTATTGTTTTTTAATTCCCTTTTTTATATTAAAAAAATCAAATAACCGTAGGTTAATTTGGCACAGGGTATCTTTCAACACAGGAAGGTGTTGTTTCTATGTAAGCCATTTGCAGTTCCCGTCCTTACAGTTTTTTTTATATTTGCTTTGCTTGCCGTTCAAATTAATTTGACCTAAGTCAATTTAATTTTTCTTCCATGAATAAAATATTTGATGTTCTCAACCAAATGCTTTCTGGTTAACATACACAAAAAAACCCAAGTAGAATTTGAGACTGTTATATCCACTCCTTATATCTTTGAATGAAATAGAACAAGTAGACATAGAAAATTTGAATGTCTTTTTTTTTTTTAATTTTTTTTTTATTTTACTTTTGAATAAACATGGTGAAGGCCACCCAGAGACACTTTGATTGGTGAGACGGTGGCCTATGAATTCAATGAATGAATGAATGAATGAATGAATGAATGAATGAATGAATGAATGATCACTACAAAACCAGGCAAGGTCTGACTATGGTTGGTCATTTAGTGTATTTTAGACTTCTTTGCCCAATTTGAAACACAGGCATTTGGTCTGCCTGCATTATTGTTCACATAGTTAAATAATATGAAACCTTAATCCTTTCCCTTTCTTAGAACACAGATGATATATTAGTGAATGACATATGAGAATAGGTCCTGTACAAATCTTTGGCTCATACACAAATATTGCGCTATGTCACAACTGCTTCTCTAGGGAGCTCTCCACATAGAAAGGAATGTTAAGTACTGAAAATATTCAAGTTTCCTACTTAGTCAAGAGGCTTCTTGAGGGGAGCTATCATTCAAAGGCAAATTTGCTCTGCCCGTGTGGTTTTGATATTTATTTCCAAGAAGGTGTTCCCATCAAAATGTGCCTATATGTTTGTGTGTATGAGAAAGAAATAGGGACTGGCATATTCCCAGATGGCTCCATTGGTGACAAACCCCTTGATGTCCTAGTCTTATTGAAATGAATGAAGGTACTTTACATGAAAAGACTAAAAGCTTTCTCATACAATCTTGCAAAGTATTATTCCACTCAATCTAAACCGTACTCGTTGGTTTTCTGTACCTAGGGCAATCCTCTATACCAGGGGTGTCAAACTTGATTTCATTGAGGGCCACATCAGGGTTGTGTTTGACCTCGGGGGGCCGGGCTGGGCATGGCCAGCTTGATATCACTTGTGTCAGGGGTGCCTGTGGTGGCCTGAGTGCACTGCCAGCGAAAATGAGTTCCTGAGTTCATTTTCATTTTTCAAATAAACCTCAGTTTATGGCTGGGATGGCCTCTTGCAACCCTCTGCCAGCAAAAACAGAGCTCAGGATGGCCGCAGGCAGCCCTTGTGAGTTCCGTTTTTGCTGGCAGAGGCACTGCGGGCCAGTCCTTCTCTGTTTCCAGGGATGCCCCAGATTGAAGCACCCCCTGAGCCGGATCTGGCCCCTGGGCCTTGAGTTTGACACCCCTGCTCTATACCAATGTTTTCGCAACCTTGGCCAGTTGAAGATGTGTGGACTTTAATTCCCAGAATCCTCTGGGAATTGAAGTCCACATATCTTCAAGTGCCCAAGGTTGAGAGACACTGCAATATACCTTGATCTAAACTTTATAGAAAGCTTACTTTTCACAATAAGGTCTGAATAAGCTTCTAGCCTGTCTTTTAGCTACGACCACGCATATTAAAATAACATTTAAATTGCTCGAGCTTTCTGGAACTATTCATCTGTTTTATCATGCATGTTAAGCACATTAACAAGATAAGGGATCTAACTTTTACATTGAATGGACAATCTTTTTTCTGTACCGAACTTCATTTCCTCAAGGTAATCAGTGGCATGACTAGAGGGAAATATATATACCGGTATATGGACACCCATTCTCTGTCTGATACTCCCTTGAGGCACCCTATTCTTTCTCTTCTGACTAGAAAGCTGTGAGGAATAAAAGTCAGTTCTTGAAATGAACAAATGAAATTAGTCTGAGACCCATCCCCATTTTACAATTTTTTTTATCAATGAGCTAGATTACAGAGAGCAAAATCTTTCTACTACAGAACCAGCCTTACTGATCTCTGGATTATACATTGCCTTCAATCTAGGACTTCTTTCAAGATCCAACAAGGAAGCTGAATTGGTACTTTCACGGAGCAATTTTTTTTGTTTTTCAAAGAATGCAATATACACACTGAAGCTCAAGGCTCCATTGAAATAACCAATATGCAATCAGTTTAGCTATTTGACATTACTGAATTCACTAAGAACTCTTTGTGACTGTTATCATATTTTTATTCTTACTCAGTAGACACTTTTCCTCAAATACCTAGACAGTGGGCACCACTGTGTTTAAGGGAGAATTTCTCATTAAAAATTTCCTGTATATAAATTACATTGTTGCCGAATTAACTTTTGCATGCTTGATTAAAAAGCAATTTATATATCAGTGATTTTAGTATGAAGGTAATGAATGGAAAATGAATAATTTTATGTAATAAAATCTTATGTAATAAAAAAGCAACAAAATTAAGAAAGACATCATGTTTTTAAACCTAGTCTAATTTTTCTGCTTCATTATTTTCTCCCCTGAATTTTATGTGTAATAACAATAATTTTGTTTGGCAAAGTCCATTATTACTACTGGTATTTGTTATTATTATAGCCAGTTTAAGAGCGTGGTGCTATGGCTGCAATATGGGACTAATTGCAAAAGCAATCTGAAAGACTGACTTTTAAAATACACAGATATAAATGTTGCCTTACCTTATGTTTTTGGAAGCAAATTTTTCTTGCATATGACTGTTTGCTGCATTATTTATTTGTTTGTTTGTTTGTTAACTTTATATGCTGTCCATCTCACCAGCCAAAGTGGGTGGCTTACAATGCCATAAACATATAAAATATAAAAACATTAATATTAAGAACAATCAAATAAAGGCTAAAAACCGAGAGGACAAAATGGTGTGGGGTGAGCTTTTACCTTTCATTCCACCAACAACCTTTAGCATGGCATGCCTCTTTCAGGGCACTAGGCCAACCAGCAGAGCCAGGTTTTAAGGCCCTTCCAGAAGGGCAGGAGAGTGGAGATGGATCTCGCCTCCAGTGCCAAGACGTTCCAGAGGGTGGGGGGACAGAAGGCTCTTTTCCTAGACCTCAAACTGAAATTCCTTGGCTGAAGAGTTCGCAGCAGGCCTTTCCTGCCAGAGCAAGTGGGATGGGCCAATCCCTTTGGGATGAGACAGTTCCTCGACCAATCTGGTCCCATGAGCACATTGTAAGCCGCCCTGAGTCTTCGGAGAAGGGCGGCATAAAATCAAATTTAAAAAAGGGGGGGGCCTTAAAAGTGGTTACCAGCACCTTATCACATCATATTATCATATCCCAATAAACTTTAGTTAACTAATTAAGATGTTTGGCTCTTGTCACTGTAGAAAGTTAGCACCCACCCCTCTCCTAGAAGAATGAAATATTCTAGGAAATATTAAAAAGGCAGAATATTATATTTCCTTGGATGAGAAAAGGAGAAATGTTTTTAAAGACAAAGAGCAGCTTCCTGCAGCTCTCTGCCCCCAGCAGATATTTGGTGCCCATTAAGACTGGGCCAGCCTATCTACAAGACAATTAGAACTTCAGCTTCAGGGTGATGACCCTCAAGACATAATAGGATTAGCCCTCTACCCATCTAGCAGTAAGACTCACTGCATTGCGAAATCACCTGGGGGACATTACATCACCCAGCAAGGTTCAACCAACCTTAATTCAGACAACCTCAGCTGTGTCCCCTGCATAGCCCCCTGGGAGTCTCACAGCCAATAGACTACATGCCCTTGCCACAGGAACAGGAAGCTCAAGTTCAAAGCCCAAGAGAGGGTATAAATAACACACTCTCTCCACTCCATGTGGTCAGCTACCCAGAATCACACGTGCTTGGTGGTTCTGCTTCACAATTAAACCATCCTTCCAAGCAGTCTCCATGTTTCCAGTGTCTTTCTCCCCACTTGGAACTGAACCCAGATGGACAGTTCTTCCAACATCACCATGATGATGATGATGATGATGATGATTCAGGAAGAAACAGAGTGGAATGTAGAGTAGTATTCTAAATGAAATTAGTCTAATAAAATTAATTTGCCAGTCACAGGATGATAAACCCACAGCAATAAGTTCCCAGCAGATCTCAGACTGATTTGGAAACCTCTCTGCTCAGTCGGTTCCAACAGCTGACAAAATGACATTCCCTCCCTTCATAGCTCACTGGGCAGAGAAGAAGCGTCAGCGAAAGAGAGAGAAGGGAGTGATTGACTATAAGCTCACAATTTGTTGATCACTGGCTTTGATTATGCTCACCAATAGCAAGTAGATCTCAACGTCACTTCCAAGGAAATGCTAACCTCAGCAGGAAAAGGTTCCCCACCCCTGGTGTTGTTTCTTTATGAAGAAATGTTTTTTCTTCATATTCTTGCCTAAGGTTTGCACAACTTTTCAGGATGCACATTAGCATGAAAACTGGCACAATGCCCAACATCTCAAGAAGCTTGCTAGTATAGGCCCTCTTTTGCATGCAAGGAGAACTGAAATCAACACCATTCTTGGGTTTATTCAAACTGTCTCCCCATGTTTTGCACAGTATTTCAGAAAGCACATTAGTACGCTTGTACAATTGCTAGGGCAACATCTTGGTATATAGCTGCATGGATTATGACTAATCCTTGCACAATATTTTATAAAACATCACCAATGCATTATGCTCTTCTGTTAAATCCATCTTTTTCTTTGTATGAATTATCAGATACTTCTGCATCTGGGATGGTTAATTTTTTAATCCTTCCTCCCTCCCTCCCTCCCTCCTTCCCTCTTTCTTTCTCTCTCTCTCTCTCTCTCTCTCTCCCCTTCTTCCTCCTCCTCCTCGTCCTCCCCACAGATGCACAATCCCACTTTTCAGATCAATGAATACCATCTTGCACGATCAAATGCAGCATTCAAGTCATCTCTACATTTTGATGGATATGGCTGTAGATTCATTTGTTGCAACAACAACAACAACAACAACAACAACAACAACAACAACAACAACAAGCTGATCAACCTGCTTGGTGCCTGGGCCTGAGACAAGGTATGGATGGGCAAAGGTATGTTGCGGTAGCATAAAATACATTCACAAATCGCCACAGCTTCTTTTATGGCAGGATGCAAAAGACTTTATGTGGTCTCCGACTTGCTGACTTTTGTAATTTGAAAGATCCTATCTCTCACATTTGTAGTCAAATATTTCAGCACCAGGGTGGGGAGGGGGGCAGCAGGGGAGTGTTTCTATCATGTGTTTAATTTTCTCCATATTGACTTAATTTTTTTGCTTTCAGAGCCGGGGTTTAAGACTGTGAGTTTTGAGATTTTAGTTGGCTTCACTAGTTAAAAACTGGTGTAACCACAGTATTGGAGCCTTGGTGGCGCAGCAGACTAAAGTGCTGTTAAGTAACACCAGCTGCCTGCAATTACTGCAAGTTCAAATCTCACCAGGCTCAAGGTTGACTCAGCCTTCCATCCTTCCGAGGTAGGTAAAATGAGGACCCGGTTTGTGGGGGCAATAAGCTGACTTTGTATTAAAAAATACAAAGTATTTTTTTTTGGGGGGGGGGAAGCCCTACTAAGCAGGTATATACAAAAGTATGAAGGTTATTGCTTAACGCATTGTAAACCGCCCTGAGTCTCCGAAGAAGGGCGGCATATAAATCAAACCAATAAATAAATAAATAAATATTGCAATAAAATAATTGAAGCCTTTGGGAACTAATAAACAGCATAAAGCACAACCTTGCTCAGATGCCATTCCTCAACAAAGGAATTGCAAAGGGAAATGGCTGGAGCTAGACTAGATCAAAAACATTGATAGCACTTGTTAAAGCTCAGAACAGAATCCTGGATTTTTATCTAACCCCAAGAATTACAACTAAATGTTGTAAATGTTTATCAAATTTTAAAATAATTTTTAAATGTTTATCAAATTTTAAAATAATTTTATAATAGTTATAGATGCTTTAACTCCATTTTGTAAATTATACAAAATTGGGTAAAACTAGGGGCTTTTCTGGGGGTAACAACATGTGAAGCTATTACTCAATTATAACAGAGGCATTTATGATAAATTGACTTGAAGTGTTTTACATACATTGGATAAAAAGAACTTTCTGATATTCGGCATTTATTAATAAAGAAAAATATTCAGAAAGTGCTGCTTTAAGTGCTTATCACATCTTATATGTTTTCCTAAGAATTGCAACAGGTCTTGCATCTTATATTCATTTGAACCTATTCTTCACCATTTCTCTTTTATAGCTATGCATATTTCTATTCGATCCTGTAGAGCAGACAAGGGTCTCCAGCCTTGGCCACTTTAAGCCTGGAGGACTTCAACTCCCAGAATGCTGGCTGGGGAATTCTGGGAGTTGAAGTCCACCAGGCTTTGCTGGCTAGGGAATTCTGGGAGTTGAAGTTTACCAGGCTTTGCTGGCTAGGGAATTCTGGGAGTTGAAGTCCATCAGGCTTAAAGTGGCCAAGGTTGGAGACCCCTGCTATAGAGGAAAGCACTTGATGCATCTGATGAAGGAGGCTCCAGGAAAAAAAACACCACCATACACATTTATGAGTCTTTTACGTGTGGTAATATTTGGTTCTTTTCCTTATGGAAAGCAAATAGCTTTCACTTTCATCTCCTCCTGAAAAGTGTTCCTTGTTCCTCTCCTGCAAAGCTGGTGTGAGATCACTGAGCCACCATTTGAAAAGGGACATAAATTGCAAAAATTGTATCGATAGAGGCACTGCTTGTTATCTGAAGATGCCTTCTAAGGCTTTTCTAGAACATACCCAGAGCAACTTATAGGGATGGCATGCCATGCTTCTACAAAGAACAGAGCATAGAATCATATGCTAGTCTTCCCACACTTGTATATCTTTTGGAAGGGATTGGGGGTAACGCTGATCCCCAGGTGCCAAGAATGAAGTGTTTATTCGTTAAGTTTCCTGCTTTCAGACTGGCAGGACATTCTGTTTTTCCTCTCAAAGAATAAAAGAAAAACAGTGGCATGTGATGCTTTCCCCCCCTCTTTTTAACCTCTTTCAGTTCTGCTGTGAAGCTCAGTGGGGGAAGAATCATTAACTGTAATAAAGGGCAGTGGGTTTCCTTGCTTCATAGTTTTTTCTAACCATCCTTTATTCTTTTTCCTATCGCAGACATTTTAATCGCAAGTGCACACAGTATTTGTGAACTGCCGAGAGTCCCTAACTGGATTGCAGCAGGATATAAATATAATAAATAATCTTTTTTTCTGAGTAAGTGATCAACAGCACGATTGCAGAGGTTAATACTGAAATGTGTTTCTTTGCATAGATAGAGGCTTCGTCTGGTTTTATAATTTTAGCGAGAAAAAGTAATAAAGCTGCCAAGCCTTTTTTTTTACTTGAAACTTTTGCTTTTTTATTGTTAATTTTTCTCTGCTGACACAAAACTACAGGTAGTCCTTGACTTATGACCACAATTGAGCCCAACATTTCTGTTGCTAAGTGAGAAAGTTGTCAAAATGAGTTTTGCCTCATTTTTATCACAGTTGCCACAGTTGTTTAGCCAATTACTGCAGTTGTTAAGTTAGTAACACGGTTGTTAAGTGAATTTGGCTTCCCCATTGGCTTTGCTCAGTGGTGAAATCTAAAATTTGTTACTACCGGTTCTGTGGGCGTGGCTTGGTGGTGGTGGGGTAATGTGACTGGGTGGCCGTGGCCAATTTTTTTTTTTACTTTTAAAACCATTTTTTCTACAACCTCTTCGGCGACGAGGTTGTAAAAAAATGCTTTAAAAAGGCTCTGACGATCCCAGCTGAGTTGCCTGATTGGCAGAGGCTTTTTAAAAAACTCAGCTTGGATCATCAGAGGCATTTAAAAGAAAAAAAGTCTCTGCCAATCAGGCAACTCAGCTTGGATTGTCAGAGGCATTTAAAAGAAAAAAAGGGTTTTTTTCTTTTAAAAGCCTTTGACCATCCCAGCTGAGCCGCGCGATCATCAGAGTCTTTCTTTTTTTACTTTTAAAAGCATTTTTTCATCCGAAGAGGTTGTAGAAAAAATGTGTTTAAAAGTAAAAAAAAGCCTCTGATGATTGTGCGGCTCAGCTGGGCATAGGGGGGACAGGGATTTTTGCTACCAGTTCTCCGAACCACCCGCCTCCATCGCTACCGGATCGGGCGATCCGGTCCGAACCGGGAGCATTTCACCCCTGGCTTTGCTTGTCAGAAGGTCGCAAAAGGGGAATCACATGACCGTGGGATATTCCAACCATCATAAATATGGGTCAGTTGCCAAGCCTCTGAATTTTGATCATGTGATCATGGGGATGCCACAACCGCTGTTAAGTGTGAAAAACAGTCGTAAGTCACTTTTTTTCAGTGCTGTTGTAACTTCAAATGGTCATTAAATAAACTGTTGTCAGTTGAGGGCTACCCATACTGGAATCTCAGTAACATATAATGTAACAACATTACAGTAAATGTGGAAATAAATATCAAAATAACCATTACATGTTAAATTTAAGCCACGCGTTCTTAGGGCTTTGATTAAAAAGTTACAACCTCTTTAAAGCTGCTTTGAAACCTCAAAAAGAATATAACTGCATTTGTTTCCGCATGGAGACCGCTTCTGAACTTTGTGCTTAAAGTGGAAAAGAATGAAATTTTGATCTGGGGTTTTACTGAGTAGATTGATAGATCTTTATAGAAATGGCTTGTTTATATTATTATTAAAAAAAACAAAAAGTTGTGATTAGATGTTAATGCCTTATTTTATTGCAACAGACAGAGTCGGAAGTCCATGTTTCTTTTTCTTTTTTCCCTACCCTTCCTCACTTCTCTTCCCCCTCTTCTTCCCCACTGTTCTCCTATTTACTTTTGTATTTTGTATCTTATTTTATCTTATAACTCAGTAAAAAAAAGGTCAAACTAAAACTGCCTTGAAATCTAATAAAAGCCATTTTCTTATTTTGACCTGGAATCAGAGGTGGGTTTCAGCAGGTTCTGACCAGTTCTGGAGAACCAGTAGTGGAAATTTTGAGTAGTTCGGAGAATCTGTAGTAAAATTCTGACTGGCCCTGCCCCCATCTATTCTCTGCCTCCCGAGTCCCAGCTGATCAGGAGGAAATGGGGATTTTGCAGTAACCTTCCCCTGGATTATGGAGGGAATGGAGATTTTACAGTATCCTTCCCCTGGTGTAGGGTGGGAATGGAGATTTTACAGTATCTTTCCCCTGCCACGTCCACCAAGCCACACCCACTAAGCCATGCCATGCCACGCCTACCAAGCCACACCCACAGAACTGGTAGTAAAAAATTTTGAAACCCACCACTGCCTGGAATATATCCACTGATAAAGGGTGGCTACAGAGAAGCCTCTATTCAGGTCAAACAACAGTCTTTAGACAAAAGCTAGCTGACATATTATGTATTAGCTTGCTTTGTGAAGTCAACCAGGACAAATTTATTTTATGTCACATTGCCCTTCTATCCAGGAGAAAAACATCTTTGTTAGCTTCACGGCCATTCTGTGAACTAGACCAGACTGAGAGATAATGACTGGCCCAGGTTTAGCAAATGACATTTGCAGATAAAAATGAATGTGAATGTAGGTTTCTTATCTAACACTCTATCCCCTATTTCAAACTGTTCCCATTTTAGTATATGTTCAACATATCCCTGCCTCTTACTGAAATTGAAGGATAAATGCAATTTCTCTGGGCAATTATCTGTGAAATTCTCTGCTGCTGGAACTTGTTAATTGCCAAAATGTGAAAGGTTTTTTAGACAATATACATTAGTTGTGAAATGCTTATTATTGCGTTTATCAATTTACATTGAGCCTATATTCAAAAAAGAAGGCAGATGATAATGGGGAATGTTTGCATATACTATTACTCTTCCAAAAGCAGAGTACAAGGTTTGCTAGCAAGACAGATTAGAAGGCTGTATATATTAGTTTAATGTTGTTTCTAAACAACTCATCTCTTCATAAAAACACAGCATTTAGATTCCAGGAAATAACTGCCAGAGACTTGACGGCAACATTCTAGTGTCTCTTGGCTGATCTTGAAAAAGCAGCATCAGACCTTGGACAGGAGACCATCATAAAATTCCAGGGCTTTAGATTAGATTGGGAAATATTAGAAATATCTCCAGCGTTGTGTTGTTCAAGGCTCAAGCTTCAGCAAATACTGTAGGAAAACCCTGCAAAGAATGACTTCTGTCCTTCTTTCTAACCCCATTTAACAACAATATAACCATTTGTCTGAAGTGATGTAGGGTTTCCTGCCTAAGCAGGGGGTTGAGCTAGAAGACCTCCAAGGTCCCTTCCAACTCTGTTTATTCTATTCTATTCTATTCTATTCTATTCTATTCTATTCTATTCTATTCTATTCTATTCTATTCTATTCTATTCTATTCTAAATGGAAAATTGACTGCATTTTCTATCATGTAATGAAATAGTATTACACACAAATATGAACACACATAAACACACAGAGACACTGGGGATCATAGTGTTGACTGCATGTAGTTTGTTCTGATCATGTGACCAGAAGGAAGGGGCTTCAAGTGGAAGAGTAAGCAACATTCCAACACATTCCTCACTGGATCCTCCCTTAGAGATGCATTAGGGATTTTTGTTTTTGTCTCGAATGTTTTCTCTCTGCCTAACCCATTTTTAACCCTGACACCTCTTTTGCTATCTTTTCCCATGATGCCAAGCTTGGTCTCATTCTGTTCAAACTAATAGACAGAAAGATGGAATCCTGAAATCTTTTTCAGGATTTATTCTTAAAATTCTAGATCTTGGAGTTCTGTGGAATCCTTGAGATATATATCCTGCTATCAAGCTGCTACATTCTGGACTGGCTATAGCTTCTGAATGCTCTTCAAGGACAGCCCCATGTAAGACACTTCGCAACAATCCAATTGACTAACGTTTAGCTGCAGGGAATATTCTATTTATAAGTTAATAGGAAGTAAACAGGAAGTAAGGAACATAAATCTCTTAATGAGTAAATCAAATATCTCAGATCAAGTCCTTTACAAGATCATAATTCAACAAGTAAGGCCTATGCAGTGCCTATAACAGGAATTCCTAAACTTTTCAATTAAAGCTCCCTTAAGTGTAATCTTACTATGGTGTTGGAAGAAATGTCCATCTGGGTTCAATTCCAAGTGGGGAGAAAGACGCTGGAAACATGGAGGCTGTTTGGAAGGATGGTGAACAGGACCACATGGGTTTGAAGTCCTGAGTAGCTAACCACATGGAGTGGAGAATCAGTGTTATTTATACCCTCTCCTGGGCTTTGACCTTGAGCTTCCTGTTCCTGTGGTAAGGGCATGTATCCTATTGGTTGCAGAATCCCATGTGGAGTCATGTTTGTCTGAATTAAGGTTGGTTGAACCTTGGGCTGATGTAATATCCCCAAGTATCATGTTGCTAGATGGGTAGAGGGCTAATCCTATTATGTCCTGAGGGTCATGTCTTAATCTCATCAGCCTGGATCTGAGGTCTTTTGTTTTGTAGATAGGCTGGCCCAGTTCTCAATGGGCACCAAATATCTGCGGGGGGCAGGGAGCTGCTTTAAACATGTCTTTAAAAACATGTTTCTCCTTTTCTCATTCAGGGAAATATAATATTCTGTCTTTTTAATATTTCCTAGAATATTTCATTCTTCTAGGAGGGGGGGTGCTAACTTTCTTCAATAGATACCTTCCCTAAAAACCCAAACACTAAAATAAATACAAAATGAACAATGAAATCAATACAATGAAAATTTGGGAAAGGTGGATTTTTTTGAAATTATTGTAAACGGTACAACTAAAAGGTTATTCACACTCTTTTGGATTCTGCCTCATGGGAGGTACACCTGACACTTTAGGAATCCCTGGTCCATATGCTCATCTAGAAAACCACCATGCCCCAGCTTGAAGATATCCTACTAACCATATAAGAACGTATCTTCAGAATGAACCCACCATTTCATAGTAGACATTCCCATTCAGACATTTGAAAATCCATGGAGGAGGAAATGCCTAAGGAGGTTGGTGACCCTTTGAACTTCAGCTGAGCCATTTCAGGATGATCCTCTCTCACCAAGAAGTCCCATGCAATCACATTTCTATTTCGGTTGCCAGAAAATGTCCATATGCTTTTGTTGAGCTGGGAGCTTGAGATACATCAGGATTTATAATTGAAAGCAGGGGTGAAATCCAGCAGGTTCTGACAGGTTCTGGAGAACCGGTAGCAGAAATTTTGAGTAGTTCGG